CCACGATCGGTGCACATCCCTTACTTATTTCAAAACAGAGTTTCTTTACTTAAGCTTTTCCTCTGCGTGAGGCTCATCAAAAGCTTACCCAATATTCACAGCAAAAGTCTATAAAAAAGTTAAACTTTTTATTACTAATTGGAATTTGGGACTTCACTGCTTCATTTCAAACTTTCTATAAAATAATTCGAAGTTTCCACTACGACATGCACTGGCGTTCTAACAGAATAATTATTTGAAATTATTAGAAAATCGTAAATATTCATTATACCTATTATTATGGATATGCCGTTTGAAAGCTCACCGCACTCATCGATTATTCGAAATGCACGATAATACGATTACAAGCTTCGATCTTGTTGACAACACTTTTTCCTCTCTGTGTTTATGTCAACAAACATACAGTTATCTGGGTGAAGGGTGTTCCAAAATTAGCGCAAGATTGGAAATATATATAATTTATAAGCTCCAGATGTTGTGATATTTGAATTTTAATGAGTATACGCTGCAGAGAGCTTTGATATTGCCATTCGGGCGACTTGTTTTGGGCGACCTGTTTTGGGCGACCAGTGTGTTTGGCGTCTCCAACGGATTCTGTCTACCGGAATTATTCAATTAATATCTTAACAGTTGACGAAGTTAAAACGCCATCCCGACCATATTTCTTATAAAATTATCGAACTGATTTTGCCAAACATTCATTATTTATGAAATATTGTTCGTTGTTATATCGTGTAACTTTCCATTAATGCTAAGCCTATACTGTCAACGGGCGCGATAGCCGAGTGCTTGGCATTGCGTACTGCCATTCGGAGGGCTAGGGTTCGAGTCCTGCTCCAACCAACGTCTAAAATAATGGAAAACTAATTTTTCTAATTTGCGGGTGTTCTGCGGCAGGGAATGTCAAGCCTAACGATGGTACTTCGACATGAGAATCAAAGCTCCTCATGAAAATTCATCGGTCGTACGGAGGCGGCTTAGTATAAGCTTCATGTCTCTCCATTTGTTGGAAAAACATCAAAGCGCGAGTTGGAGGCGAAGCTCGGCCGAAAACCGCTTCAGCACCAATTATATATATGAACTATCAGTTGTCGATTTGTTTTTTTTAAGTCAAAACTTAAACTACATAAATGGCGGCAAATTTAAATTTTGCGTTAATTTTCGTACACCCTGTATGTACATACATACATACATATATAGGACTTTAAATAGTAAAGCATTGTTGACACCGGTATCGTCGTTACAGGTGTAAGTATGTATGCATGTATGTATGAAATTATGCGATTTTTGTTATTATTTTTGTAGGAGCTCACTACTGTTTGCCGCTATTAAAGACTGGAATTAATTTCGTTACTTTTCGACTCGGACAGACGCCTTTAGTTAGCCAACGAAAGCGGTTGCGGAGGAAAAAAACAAGAAAATAGTTCAAAGGACTACAAATGATATTAATAAAAAATGCCAGAAATTAAATGATTTAAAAAAAGAAAATGTTAATTGTTCATGTGTTTATGTGTACGTGATATATGTGTGTGTGTGAAAAATAATTTATATTTTTTTAAAAGGTAATTTAATTTATTTGCCAGTGAAAGAGATAAAACATAGAAAATGAATAATAACGCAAAAAACTATCCATATATATATATATACAATAATAAAATTTATAAACAACGGTATTTTGTGAAAGTGTTAAAAAACTGAGTGGTAATCTTTTACTTTAGACCGTCCAAGTGTCTTTATTTTGCAGAGCCTTATCTCCTCCTTTGAATATATTTCTTTACTCTTTTTGGGAAAAACAAATTTACTTTTGTTGTTATTGGAGAAAATAAAAACGATCATCGTAAAACCCGTAAAATTTTAATAAGAAATTTATGCTGAACTTTCTCGTGCCGATAATAAAATGGATCTGCCCTGCCCTGCAGTTGGAATTTTTCAATAATTAAATATGAAAAAAATCTGTCTGTATATAATATTGAAATTTTGTGAAAAGAAATTTAAATAATAATCAACCACTGAAATATCAACCTCATAAACTGCGTATGTTTGAAACAGCGGAGGGCAGGGCTTGCACAGAAACGGTCGAAACTCAGAAATGGCCGAGCCTTCTGCCATTTTTGTTGTAATATCGCACACGATGTACTAAATTCCAATTTAACGGCATGGATGGAAGAAACTAAGAAAATGCATGAATTTTTCGATAGTACACACATACATACTTGAATAAATATGTAGTTGGGTTAAGCTGATTTGCATAATGAGCACTGAGTAATCTTAGATTAAAAGCTTTAAACTTTAAACTTTAAAGTGGAACGCCAAGGCATTACCACTTTTTCGTAGGACAAAGTGAAATAAAATGGCCAAGGGAGAGTAGAGTCTAGTGGAAGTGCGTGAATGGATATTAGCAGATTATAGATATTTGGATTTATTTTCTTACTTCAACAGGGCATGGGAAACAATTTCCTTCAAACACTGTCATATCAGAAAATGATGTGAAGCTTTTTCCAACGCGATCCTTTTTAATACAGGATCCATCTTGTAATGGAGTACCAAAATTTCGGTCTAAAAGAGACAGTTTATTTATAGCATCGTTTGGAGCATGTACTTGGCATTGCAATGAGCGTCAGAGCGGTTCGCTGATATCGAAGAATAGCGTGAATTCTTCAAAAAGCTACTTCTCCAATTTGTGGTCTTCCGTGTTGATGTTTTTTCAACGAATGGAGGGATATACAATTTATTCTAAGTGACCTCGGAGCGGCCGATGTGCAGCTGGAGGGTTTGACATTTCCTGCCTAGGGGTGGCCGTTATAGGAAACATTAAGTTTTGGAAAGTTTTGAGTGTAGGACCTGCACACTGGTCTTCAGAATGACAGTACACAATGCTAACCATTTGGCTATAAAATTCTTGATAGTACATTCTGGTCTCCCGCAGCATTTGTGCGTGAATTCTAGCATAGTGGTATTAAGCTCAAAAAACTAAACAAAGATCTCACTATAAGTTCATATAATCTAAATGTTCGAGATATTAAAAGCAAGCTAACTGACCGGCATCTATAAAGTAAACATTTTAATTTTAGCAATATATAATTTACCTCGGCATAGCTTAAACCTCACGGCTTTAGATAATGAAATTTTAAAAAGGTGTATCGAATTTATAGAACAGACCGATTGGAGAGAATCGGAGGTCGGGTTTTACTCATCCTTCAATTTCTTTCGAAGAAGGAATTGTTCCTGGCTTAGATTCCTTATAATTGAATAGTTGAAAAAATTTAAATCTCCGCGCTTAACGAACGAGTCCCAATCGTGACTCGGCATATTCCGTGCGTTATGCGACAGTTCACAAATATCAGATTTCTAATGACGGAAAAGAGGAACCATTCGATGAACTAATCATTAATACAAAGCTTCTTACTAAGGTAGAATTTTTTGTTATTAAAATTAATGTCATGGAAATACAAAATCACAAATTCAGACTTTAAAAATTACCTTTTTTTCTATGATTCTTAGGAGAGTTGCAGCGTATACTCCCATATTGAATTGTTGTGCTAACGCCTGAGGCGAATATTAATAATATAATAAATAATACTACCGCTGTCAGAATGTTTCGCAATGAACATTTTTTTTTTATTTAAAGTGAGATTATGTTTGTATCACTAATAAAAACTCAATAGAATAACCTCTCTTTACCCAATTTTCCCGGATAACATGAAAGTACAGGGAAATACATTTTACGTTTTGGAATGTAAAAAATAAATAAAATGAATATAGATTAATTTTTAGCATGAAATTCCAGTTTTATTATAAAGTTTGAACCTTGGCCGATCCATTTGAGGTAATTTTCGACCACTTTTTACGAATATTAGCTTTCAAGTGTTTAAGAGTTAAAGTTTATATAGGGTCTTTTGCGTATAACAAATCGGACGATCTCGGTGGATAATTGACAACGCCAAGAGGAGAGAAATTTTTCTCGCAATAAAGCCATATTCGCTCCTTTTGTGTGGCATGTGGCGCCATCTTGTTGAAACCATAAATTGTCCAAGTCGTTGTTGTTGTTCAATTGTAGGCTAAAAAAAAATAGTCGGTCAACATACGACCATAACGTTTCGAATTGTCAGTGACAGTCTCGCCGTTGTCGTTTTCAAATATGTAAGGCCCAATCACAACTCCTAATCAAAGAACACACCAGACAGTAAGTTTTTATTCTGGTGTAATGCCTCTTTTGAATTATTTGAGGATTCCCAATAGGCGACAATTTTGCTTATTTACGTATGCTCCGAGTGAGAAATGTGTCTTGACACTGAGAATTTTTTTTTCGAATATTCGCTGTCCACTGCTTGTTGTTCAAACACCCAAGCTGGTTAGCTGTCTTCAATCGTCGTGCGAGCTGGACTTCTTATCGATGTAGATGTAAGTCCATGTGTAAAATGCGTCATAATGTGTCTTAAGAAAGTCGCAGCTCTCGGGCGCTCGGCTACAATTTTACTTACGCTATTGATAAGTGAGGTGGGAGGAGCAGAACGATTATATACAGGCATTATAGTATTTAAAAACCATGCAGTCTCTACGAATTTCTTTAAAATTTTACCGATTCCCTCAGTAGTTATAGGATCACACGCTCCGAAGTCTCTTCTTAGGTTTTAACAATTTTAACGCGTTGTGTGTTTGTTAAGCGACCCACTTTCATTAATACCTGACACTTAACTAAAACAAAACTTGTTTGTTTTGACAGTAAAATTTGACTGATGTTGAAATACAGTCCTTTACTTTTGAAACCATGAAGTGGATAACCATATATTTCAGTAAAGCAGCAAAATAATATTTTTTTAAATTAAAAATTTTAAATGAAAAAAGTAAAAAATAACAAAAAAACTTAAACAGGTGTTGTATGAGTTAAGAATTTAAAATTTATTAAATAAATAATTTTTTATGGGTTTAATATTAATAACTGAGCAAATGGACATTAAGACATTTTAATAAAAATATTTTTTTTTAATTTTCCTTTGCAGCTAAACGAAAGTGCAGCAGCAGAACTTTTTACTGTTAACGAGCTTATTAGAAAAATTCACAAGCGAAAGCGTTCAAACGGACGCAATTTGGGCGCACAGCACGCCTAAGGTGTTTGCTTGAAAAGTCTGAGTTAGTATTTTAAATAAACAAATAGGTTTATCACATAATTATGGCGACGCTGACAGCGACGGACGCGGCTATGCCAACGAATAATAGATACAGCGCCTTCGCTACTGCTTACTCTACGCATCTCTGGCGGACAGTTGTTATGTTGTCTGTAGTTATCGCATTCCTAAGCCTACAACCCACAACAACAACCACAACAACCCCATTAATAACAACAGCAACTACGGCACCACCAAAAATAGTAGAGCAAAACCCACATGAGAACGTGATTTCGCCGAGTGTTTGTATTGCTGAGATGAGTTGTTTACAAGGCAAAATCATGATGGGCGTGGATCACCAACCTTTTGAGGCATATCTTGGCATACCATACGCTATGCCGCCAGTGGGAGAGCTGCGTTTTGCGGTGCGTTGAAGAAACTGTAGTAATTCTTAACTGTTTTAAGGAATCCCCTTGACTAAATAAGTCACCTTTTTTGTTTACAGAATCCCAGAGCTTTTCCACGTTGGCGGGGTTTCCGAGATGCCAGCGTGCCGAAGCAGGAGTGCGTGCAAAAAAATTACATACTACCAGGCTCTAAGGTGGAGGGCGTAGAGGATTGCTTATACCTAAATGTCTATGTACCAAAAGTGAGTTGCGCCTGTTGAGTCAAGGATAAATAATTCTCAGTGAAATTTACAAAAACAGCTGTTTTGATGACGTCAAAGTAGTGAATGTAGTATTTATGCCATTTTACTAATATCAGCCTTAAAATATCTTCCAATTAGCCGAGAACACAGAAATCACTACCAGTAATGGTCTATATACATGGCGGTGGTTGGTTTAGTGGCACTGCCAATCCAAGTTTACAAGGTCCTGAATATTTTATGGCAACCGGTGAAGTCATCTTAGTGGTGTTTGCCTACAGACTGGGTCCGTTTGGTGAGTTTGCCCGAGAAAGAAATTAAAAGACTTTGACAATGAAATCTTCATTTCTCTCCCATTGCTGCATTGCTAGGTTTTCTCTCAACCGACGATGCCAATATGCCCGGCAATTTGGCTTTGAAAGATCAAAAGCTCGCATTCCGTTGGATTCATGAAAATATCGCTGCCTTTGGTGGTGCACCCGAGTTGGTAACGGTGTTTGGACAGAGTGCTGGCGCGATTTCCGCACATCTGCATGTTTTGAGTGGAAATTCGGAAGGTGCGCATCTTGAAGTGAGCTTACACAATGAATTTGTATTAATTCTTTTCTAATTTCAGGTCTCTTCCATAAATTCATTACAATGAGTGGCACCGCAAACGTGCCATTCGCCATCAATGACAAGCCACTGCAACAGGTTCTGGACATGGCGAGATTTTGCAATATCAGCAATGCCGAAGAGTTGAGCACAGCCGAGCTGGCGCGCGCTTTACGAGCGGTGAGCGCTTACGATTTAGTGAGCGCGGGTGATAATCTAAAATATTGGGATGTTGATCCAATGACAAATTTCCGTCCCATCGTAGAGAAAAGTGCTGCACGTGATGCCTTTCTCACCGAGCATCCATTGAAATTGTTAAACGAAGGCAAATATAAGCCGTTGCCGTGGTTGGCTGGTGCTGTGCCTGGTGAAGGCGCTGTACGTGTTTTCTCAATTTTGGCTAACGCAACACTGCGACGACAATTTAATGAAAAATTTTATGAGTTGCTGGGAAAATTACTAGAATTTCCGGAGAAGTTCAATCGCACTCAAGTGACGGAGAAGACACAACAGGTTATCGATGAATATTTTGGTGGACAAACGGTCTTAAATAATGATACAGCGCGAGATTTCCTGGAGGTGAGTATCGGATGAAGATGTTATTTGTGAGTATCCAGGTGATTGGGAGGGAATGTGAGTACTCATATACGCTGCCACTTTATCCATGACTCTTGAGCTTGTAAGGATATTTTCTGAGGCAAAACTGCGGCCTTCAAGTGGTTTCGTGTGGTGTTAATAAGCTCTTTATTACCGCTGAGATCTCCGTTTGAAAAATTTTGCAGTAATCCCTAAGGTTGAAGGGTAGCCTGAGTTCAAGCTCACGGCAATAGAACATGACAGTCACTTGGCTTTTAATGTGCCTTGGAGCCTTATTTCCCAGAGAAAGCGTGTGGATATGTTTTACTTTTGTCCACCGTTCCCTTACTTATTGAGCTATTCTCGAAGATTTAGGAGGAATTTCACCGTTCAGCCGTGAATTTTGATTTCTGCTGGAACAAATATAATCATGCGCTGCATCCAACATTCGTTCAAGATAATCGCCAAGCCGAGTCGGTAGTTCGAGCAACTTTGCATCAGCCTGGTACCACGTTTATTCTAGTGGATAATGTTCTTACCCAGAGATACCGTGCCGTACGCACCGTATACGCTATTGCTGCTGTGGGGCAGAGCGACGAAGAAACCCGCACGAGTTCATCAGTCATCGCGCGCAATAATTGGAGCTGTGCCCATCCACTTCATGCAAGATTTTACGGATATATGTTGATTTAAAGGCTTACAAAGCCCAACTCGTACAGGAGTTAAAGCCGAACGACTATCAAGAGCGTCGCTCTTTCGGTGAATGGGCCCAAAACGAGATAACCACGGAATCCGATTTTCACCAGAAAATTTCGTTCAGCGATGAAGCTCACAAAATTGTCACATTTGCAGAGATGATAATCCAAAAGCCATTGTTGGATTACCTTGTTATAACCTCAAAAAGTCACTGTAGGGTGTGCTCTATGGGCATAGGGAATCAATGGTGCACTATAGAGTCTTTTTCGTGTCTGTATTGAAGAATGTTGATGTGGATAACCGTCAGTTATAAGATGTCATACAGCCAACGAAAATAGAATTAATGAAAAGCGCATTATCTCTTGTCGTGGGCCTGTGGGCATGTGGCGTGGCCTCCAATAATATGCGATTTAACATCGCTGGACTATTTTTGGTGAGATTTTGGCGAAGTTACTTGTCTACGCAGATGAACCCGAGACAATTGACCACTTGGAAGGCATGCTATTGCTGACACATGATTCCAATCACAGCAAAAAGACACCGGGAATCGCCCCTTTCGACTGGATCTTGTCCGCAATCATTTAAAGTCTTCTAAAAACAAAACACCCTCAAATAAACTTTCCAAAATCTCATTAATCTTTCAGTGTATCAGCGATCGCGGCTTCCACCATCCCTACTACAATGCCATACGCACATATGTGAATACAATGGATGTCAAAAAGTATCCCGTCTATTTGTATAAATTCAATTATGAAGGACGTCACGGCTTCACGAATCTCTACACCAGTAACGTGAATATCGGTAAATTCGGTGTGGTCCATTGTGATGATTTAATTTACGCCTTCCGTGCGCCATTGATATTTGGTGATTTTGAGCCGGGCTCATCGGATGCCGCTGCATCGAAGTTATTTGTGGATAATTTCATATCCTTTGCGAAATATGGGTGCGTTGGATTTTGGATTTTGGAAAAAATAGTACAAAAATTGGAAATGATTTTAATGTTCTCTTCATTTTCTTGCAGAAAACCGTTGAGTGAATTCACGCCCAGGCCATGTAATGCCACAGCATTTGCTCCTTCGGCTGAGTCGCAGTCAATCTGTGATTACTTGGAATTCATGCATTACGGCACGGATGGCTTCACAATTGGCATAAATAATAAATTCAACGTAAGACGTGCTGAGTTTTGGAATAAGATTTTAGAAATAGTTTAGGAGAAATTTGACTGATGTGTGGGGAGATTCCAAAATGTTGGAGATATTCGACAAATTTTCATGCAATCCAATTTGGAAGCACATTTTATGTGCATAACACTCACATGCGCTGAGATTTTAAGCAAATTATTTTTAATTGTGTATTCACCTGTTGTAGAGGTCTTCAATTCATAGTGCATTTACATATACATATAATATAGATAACTAGGATTTAGCTTTTAGATTTGTTAATGACCATGAGTGTGTGTACTATTGTGCTCGGTGATTTTTATATTTAAATGTTATACTTTTTATACAACAATTTTTATGTGCGACTGACAAAATTATGCTGAATATATGTAGTTGTAGGTCATTGCATTGCAATAAGGATGATGCTATTAATATTATCTTTGTTTCATTTGGATTTATAAGGTTGTCAAATATCTCCCTTCCGCTTTTTTGCTCTTCATTCAATCCTTTATAAAAAGTGTTACAGTAAGCGGATTTAGTTAAAATATGCTCCGTTTTGTTCGATGATCTGTTTCCATCTAAACGGCAACCTCATAATACCTTCCTCGTAGAAGCCCCCTTCCTTATTTGCGAAGAATTCGGACAGCCACTTTTCACAAGCCACTTTTGAGTTCAACTTCACACCACCAAGGGCATTCGCCATGGACAGGAACAGGTGGTAATCACTTGGCGCTACGTCCGGGCTATATGGTGGATGCGATAAAACCTCCCATCCGAGCTCCTGTAGCTTCTGACGAGTCTCCAACGAAGTGTGTGGTCTGGCGTTGTCCTGGTGGAACACTACACCCTTCCTGTTGGCCAATTCTAGACGCTTCTGGTCGATTGCCTGCTTCAAGCGGTCCAGTTGTTCGCAGTAGATGGTAGAATTAAGCGTCTGGCCATATGGAAGCAGCTCATAGTGGATGATTCCCTTCCAATCCCACCAAACACACAGCAAAACCTTCCTGGCCGTCAATCCCGGCTTGGCAACTGTTTGGGACGATTCACCGGCCTTCGACCACGACCGTTTTCACTTGATATTGTCGTATGTGATCCATTTTTCGTCGCCAGTCACCATCCGCTTCAAGAATGGGTCGAGTTCATTCCGTTTCAGCAGCATATCATACGCGTTGATTCGGTCCAGAAGGCTTTTTTGCGTCAAATTATGCGGCACCCAAACATCAAACTTTTTTTTGTATCCAGCCATCTGGTGTTTGTCGTCACAGGTCTTCCGCCGGCTCGCTTATCCATGGTGTCGTTTTCACCGGCTCTGAATCGTCGAAACCATTTCTCCGCGGTTCGAAGTGATAGAGTACCATCCCCAAAACACCATTAATCTCACGGAACGTTTCTCTAGCGGATTTGCCTTTAACGAAGGAAAACTTTAAACTAGCGCGAATTTCGGCGTTAGTGAACTTCATGTTTACACGTCTATAACTGTTGAACGCAATATCCAAACTAATCATGCATAGCATTGCTTTGTTGGTTATGTCAAGACCTTTCAAATTATGTATAGTGTTGACACGAGCTCTGTAGCGCTTTGTACATATCCGCGAAATTCAAAAGACAAAAAAGCGGAAGGGAGATATTGGACAACCTAATATTTAGTCTGGGTGGGTTTAATATTACATAGACATCGCCGAGATAGCCGAGGGGTTAGTAGTGCGTGCTGCCATTCGAAAAGCCAGCGCTCGAGTCAGTGACCGATTTACTTCGAAAAAATTATATGATTCATGTTGCGATCGCTCCTCACCCGGTAATTTCAAGCCCTCCGAGTATGTTTTTGAAATAAAATATAATATCAACTTCTCAAGGGATTCCATCGGCCGTTCGGAGGCGGCTTAGTATAAACAGTAGGTCTCTCAATCTGTTGGAAAAACTTCAAGACGCATGCCATAAATTGGAGGAGGAGGTTGACCTAAAAACCCCTCAGTGGTAATAAAGCGTCAAATTATACACTACGCCTAGTCAAAAGCAATTCATTATTTTTCTAAAAAATTGAAGGTTTTATTTACCATAGTCAGAGCTATCTGTTGTCAAATATGCCATGTTATGATCGATCATCTTTTTGCCATTTTGAAGGTAATGTCATTAAGACTATCTCCCTATTGTCAAAAACTTGGTACAATCGATTTTCAAGGCGTATCTTGAGACCAGCAAAATTATTCGCCATAGACAGGAACAAATGGTAATCACTTGATGGGAGGTCCGGACTATAATGTAGACGCATAAAAACCTTCCAACCAAACTCTCGTAGATTTTAACGTGTCACTATCGATATGTATGGTGTCTGGCGTTGTGCTGATGAAACACAACTCCGCTTCTGTTGGTCCAAGCTGAACACTTCCTGTTTCCTTCAGAAGCTTCAACACTCTCAAACATATTCAGTTTGGTCTATAGTGGAACCATGAGTCGTCTTATAAACGAATAACGCTTGCGAACTATTGAGTTTTATTATCAAAATACGTGCTCTGTTAAGAACGTTAAAAAAAAAGATTATGCTCAGCGTCGAAGTTAATTTTTGGCTTAATCGGTGCGTAAATAAGCAAAATTGTTGATTTTGGAGTGAAGATCAGCCAGCAGACTTGCAAGAGCTACCAATGCCTACAGAAAAAGTCAGAGTTTGGTGCGTTTGGTTTGGTTTGGTCGCATCATTGGACCGTACGCCTTCAAAGATGATGCGAATCGTAACGTAACTGTGAATGGTGAGCGCTACCGTGAGATCATATCAAACTTTTTTTTTGCCCAAAATGCAAAAGCTTGACTTGCATGACATGTGGTTTCAACAAGACGGTGCCACATGCGACACAGCACGCCTCACAATGGACTTATTGAGAGGCGAGTGCGGTGAACATTTTATTTAACCTTTAGACTACCTTTTTGTGGAGCTTTGTTAAATCTAATGTGTATACAGACAAGCCCGCTTCAATTGACGCATTGGAGGACAACATTGAAGCACTTATTCGTGAGATATCGGCCGAAATGTTGGAGAGAGTATGCCAAAATTGTACTAAGCGGATGGACCATTTGAGACGCAGTCACGGTCCACATTTGCATAAAATAATCTACAAACATTAAATTATATGGACCGTACTATCGAGTCAAATAAAGATTTCATGGAAACTTTTCCATAGCCCTTAAAAAATCACCCTTTTCAATAATCTCTCTGCAGTAGTTAAGACAATTTCTTTATTTATTTTATTTAAACATTCATTCACTTACTGAAACATTAGAAAAACGTACAAAGAGACCCAAAATTCTGGTGCAAAAATTCGATTCGATTCTCTAGTCAATATCCATTTCATCCACTCGACTACGTACACGAATTTTCTTCTTCGACTTCTTTGTGGGTGGCGTTTGTGGTGGTGGGAGGAAAGTCTCCAAAAATTCAATGGTGCTTAAAATCGTATCCCGACTAACATTGCCAATGTGATCCTTATCGAAATAGACAATCGGCTCATTCGTATTTGCGCAAGTACAGGGCGTGGAGCGCACAGGTCCCAGCATTTCCACGTCACTCAAGGTGGTTGCCGTTGCTGGGGCAGAGAAAGAAAGTGAATAAAATTAAGAAAAAATAATGTAAATAAAATATTTTACCGAATAACGGTCTAAAACACTCCTTAATCTGTATCCACTTGTGACAAAATTGCTTAATGACACTATCATTTTGTTTGAAGAATGTTCTAGCTGTGGCATCCACACGCCCCTGCATGAAGTTCGGTATGAACGGCCATTTGCCTTTGGCGGCAAAGAAACAAACTATATCTAAGGTGAAAAGGAAAATAGTATTGCAATGCAATGATCGAAAATAATTAAGAAATAAATTAGAATTTGCCACCTACACGGTATATTGAAAATATGAAAGAAACCACGCCGCTGCTCCAGACTAGAGATTGCATGAATTCCGCCGCCCCCTCCGCTCGTCCTTTGACCAAATAAACGCGCATCCTTTTGTTGTTGCTCCTCGCCGGCATCGGCTCGACCAAAAGGTATCTCCTCAATGCGTACGCTGCGCAAGTAGGCGTGTGTAAGCAATAATTGATAGACGAGCAGCAGCAGGAAGGTGGGCAGGACACACCACAACAGTTGTTCGCGTAGTGATTTCATTCACAAATAATTTAGTTTTTGTATTTGATTTATTATTGGAATATTTTATTTTATTTTTAATTCTCAATGTAAGTTTTTCAAGCGTAATTTGAACTCGTTCGCGACGAAAGGTGGCAGTCAACTGAATTCATTATCCTGTGCCGCTCCATATTATCCTGTGAAGTCCTGCCGCATGTTATTGATTTTAATTGCAAAAAAATATCGTGGAAAATCTCTACAAAATGTATGCTTTGCATGTCACTGACAAATTTTTACCCAAGCGTATGTATGTATGCATGTGAAATTGTGAGGTCTGTCCAACACACATATGGCACTGTGGGAGTATATGTGCTCCAGAATGGAATAGAATAGAGCATTCTGGAACTATTATGCGGCACTAAAGTGCAATGAACTGGGTTGTGGAGTGTTAAGAATAAACTCACTTTTTAATTGAAGCTAGACAAGCTCGCGTGAATTATAACCGGTTTAGCCATTGCGATATAACGATCTCAATTAAATGTTAATCACAGAATTAGTACAGCATGGCGCTTTGAGTTTTTTTATAATGTTTTTGTTGTTCTATCGGTTCTCCAAGCCCGTCTAGGAGTAGACGACACTAGTCTAAGTCGTCGAGGTCATCTGACGAGAGGTACAGAAAACGAACTGCTTCGACGGTTTTGGACCGGTGGAGAATGGGGTGTGGGGTAGCAGCTTTTAGGGGACATTCATTGAATTTAAGTCTTGATTGTGCCAGTATTACTGAGAGAACCCATGCAAACCATTAAAGATCAGAATTAAATTTGGTAGTGTATCTTGGGTTTCCTCCTACTCCTACTCATGACTCAGCGCAACTCTTAGCACAAAAGGTAATTTATACCTTGAACTTTGTCTCGCCAAAGAAGAAGACGTCGTTTAATTAGTGGTCTTCAAACTGTGGAGCGGTACTTAAAACTTCTTGGCAGCTACCGCCAAAGTAACTATTAGTTTTCGACTACTTCGAAAGAAGAGTTAGAAACAGAATTATCGTTAGAAGTCACTAAAATTCCATATTTCTCGCGACAATTGGTTTTTATACCGACCCGATTTTCAGCCGTCAAGATTTCCCAAAAATAAAGTTGGATTTAAAACCATACATTCGGTAGATAGATGGATAGCCAGATAGAGGAGGATATGCACCGCGACTTATCGTCTGTTATGACCACCGATTCTTTCACATTATTTGAATCAATTCTTCAGCCTTTGGAAATCCTGGCAGGCTGTAAGCGTTGATTGATGTAATGTGATTTTGCCCCAGCTGAATGACATACTGTATTTCATTCTTCTACGAAGCTGTATTCACTGGTGTCACTGGCAAAAGTTCACAGAAGCGTTCGGAGCTAATTGCGATTCGGAGGAATCTGCTTACTTCTACCAAACCTAGCAATTTTGTCTGCCTTGCAATTACCCTTTATGTTTCTTTGATCAGTTACCCAATGATACTCTTCTGTTCTGTTCTGTTGAGTCATCCATTCTAGTTTCTGTTTCCATAAGCGAAGAGTCGACATCAAAGTTATCCGATGTGCTGTCGATTCTACAGGCAGGAAGTCAAGCATTACAATTGCTGGAGCTTACTAGCTTGTAGGTCCTAGGAATGTGATCTGTTAGAAAATGTGCAGAGCAAACTGAAGTTGCAAAGGGAAAGTTGATTGATTATAGAGCCGGAGATGAAACCTCCAAAACTTCTTTGAACCGTTCGGTACCCGTAGGCAATCCCAATATGTGGACTTTTAACAGTGTAACTTCTTTAGCTCAATGATAATAATAATAAAACTGTAGAACTGAATCGAGAAGTAGCACCCCAACTTAGAGCCGAATGACTGCTTGATATATGATGGCCTCAACAACCAATTCACAGTCGTAAGCTTGAGTTCGTAGACACTTTCGACGTTATGGGTTATAGCATTCACGCAAATAATATGATCAGCTCTGAAACTCAATCTACAATTATGTGGCTGGGTAAATAGTCAATTTCTCCTTCGACAAAATATAAAGGTCCTCTCCTACTTTATAGCGCGACATTCGATTAGACGGCATTTGAAGTGCTTGAAAGTAAGACCTGGGGTCGTTTACTGTCTTGCGACGACGAAGACCACAGACGTTGAAACAATGAGCGACAACTCCCAAATAAAAATTGGTAAAGAGCGTCTTGATGATTTTTCAGATAATGAACTTGTGAATGATGAAGGATCTTACAATTTAGATGAATTTTCATGAAGAGCTCTTCTACTTTATGTCTGAAATTACTGAGCGTGCCCAGTCGAAGGGCGACCGCAATCAGAAAATCTTCGTTAATTGAATTTTTTTTATAGTTTTAGATTATAGACCAGCAAGGATTTGAATCCAAAACCTTTCACCGCACCATAGCCACCAAGCGCCTAGGCTATTAAGTCGTCTGGAAGTTTTCAATGAAGCACACGCAATTCGAGGCAGAGAAAGAGGACCACCTAAGCTTCATTTGGAAGATAAGATGGGAGAGCGTACGTCTCCAGCAGTGAAAAGAATAAAATACTAGCGAGAAGAAGAAGAATGCTCGACTCCAGAAAAAGCAGGCGTAACGGGAGACCCCGAGCGGCCGAAAGCACCCCCTGCGGGTTAGGGGCTCAAGAATTTACCCGCGGTAAGGCATGCCTGTCGTAAGAGGCGACTAAAATCCAATAGTTCCCGCGACAGTCGGGTCTTTATACCGGAACGACCCGGATTTTTATCCGGCCAAGGACTGTCACTCCCGCAACATTCCCCAAAAAGTACTTTGGGGAATAATTTTGCGTTTACAACAACAACAACAACAACAGCGGCCGAAAGCGTCGTGCAGATAAAAAATTCAAATTCAACTGTTGAATTTCACCAATCCGGATCAGTCGTTCCCCTGATTGTTGGCGATAGAAATATATGGTATATTTTTTGCGTATTTCACATTTATTACAAAAATAGCAAGAACATCAAATTAATTACTAATATTTCCATTTACTCATTTCCAATAATAGTAAATAAATAAATTTCATGTAGATTTAAATACTTAAATTAAGCTCTTTACTTATTCAAATAGTAAATAATTAATGCAAAACTAAATTAATATATCTTTTACATATTGTTTTTTTTTTTTATGTAAATGCAGTAATGCAATTTAAGGCACCTTTTCGATTTGGCTTTAGTTCCGGTTCTAGGAAACATTCATATTTTCTACAATTTCTACAGTTGTACTTATATATGGATTTGTGACTAAATTGCTATAATATTATAGCATGTGTACGTATGCATGAATTTATATATGTACATATTAAATATATGCAAGTTCACTTAACGAAAATTTACACTTTATTTGAATATTTAACACTTAACTAAAGTTATAACTTTTAATACTTTAGGTTTTTTAATATTTTCTAAATATTTATATATTAATGTATTTGTGTGTGTGTGTGTAAATAAGAAAAAAATATATATGTATGTCCATATGAAAATGTGGCAAAACGATTTCGCCCTCAGTTCGTTGTAATTCGATATTTGAGTTCGTTTTTCGTAATTTTTGGCATTATTTTTTTGGCTGCATGGCGATTTTCAATAAAATTACACTTTTATTCGAAACTATTTGGATACAAATTATATACAATATGTAACTAAACGACAATACAGCAATTAAGTGCTTGCATTCTCTGGTTATAACAAGTTGCAGTCGCTGTTGTACGCCATAAAATAAATTAATTACTCTTTAGATTGTAACATATTTAGAATTTAATTTAATTTGTACACTTAAAATTATTTATAGCGACCAACTATATATGTACATATGTATGTATTTAATATTAATTATAAATTACGCACAATCACAGTCCTGCAGCATCGTACGATCGTTGTGACTTTTCAGCGCTAGCGTAGGCGACACCAGCGGCTGTTGTTTTGCTGGCAGAGGTATAGCTTTGGGCTTGGCCTTCATTGCCTTCTTCTTCTTCCTCCTCTTTTTCGTATTACGTCGACAACAGTACCATGTAAAGACTGCAACGATCAAAAAGGGGAATAAAAAAAAAATTTAGCAAATTTTTACGAAAATTAAATTGTAATCATTTACCGAGCACTGTCAATGCCACTGCCGCCGCAATTATCCACCAACGCCAACTGCTAAGCACTTTGGCTAGTTCTGCCTCTGTTTTGCAGTCGTGAAATGTCGTTGAGCCGACAGTTATGTTATATGGATCGGGGCAAATGCTATTATCGAGTGTTTCTATAAATAGATTTTATATAAATGGCAGAAATTAATTGCATGGGAATTTTCGTCAAATATGAAAAAATCTAAAAATAAATTAAAATTAAATAATTAATAGAATAAATAAAATAAATAAAAGATTAATAAAGAAAAAAAAAATGTAAAAATTATAAATAGATAAAAATGAAACGAAAATAAATAAAATCAAAGATCAAAACCTTAGACTTTTTTAAATGAAAAAAAAAAATTAATAAAAAATTAAATTAAATTAAATGAAAGAAATAAAAATAAAGTATAACTGAATAAAATTAAATAAAAAAGTAAGAATAAAAAAAAATAAATAAACAAATAAAATTAAATGAAATAAAATAAATTAAATTAAAATAAAATTGATTAAAAAAATGAAATAAAATATGTGGAGTAAAATATAATTTTTTTAAACAAATTAAAATAAATACAAATAATAAATTTAGTACAAATAAGACCAAATAAACAAAATAAGAAAAGTGAAATTAAATGAAATAACATAAAATAAAATAAAGTAAAATAAAGAAAAATAAAATAAAATTACTCAAAAATAGAATAAATTAAATAAATAATTAAGTAAACCTAAATCAAATGAATTAATTAAAGAAAATATAATGAAATAAAATTAGATAAAGTTATATACAATGTGATAAAAGATAGAATAAATAAAAATAGAATTAATTCAAATNAAATTAATATAAAATAAAATAATATAAAAAAAGTAAAATAAATATAAATATATTATGTTATATATAATAAAAAGAATTAAAGAAGTTATATAAAATAAAGTCTAACGAAAAAAACCAAATATATGATATATGTTTATAATATATAATACATTACAAACAAAAAAATACTCATAACGCAAAATATCATAATATCAAATAATGTGAAAAGTAAAAATTAAAGAAAATAAATAAAAAAGAAGATTGCATATTGAAAACTAAAAAAGAAAAAAATTAATAAATTAAAAAAAAACAGAGAACTTAAAAGTTTTCTGAAAAATATTTTATTAAAATTTTTAAATCTCTCCGACAGTGCCTAAAAATATGCAAGGTTATTTTTATGTGAAGTTTAAAGAAGGAAAATCTATTACAAATTCTATGTGAGAATGTATGTGTGACATGTAAAAAATAACATTTTCATTACATAACATTAATTAAAAAGGTAAATGATTTTAAGTATAATAATTAATTATATTTTTAAAATTTTGTATCACCAATTATTAATTATATATATATACGTATATATTTTTAAATGTATAAATGTATGTATTTTTAAATAATATTTTCAATTCAACTTACCAACACATATTGGCACAAATTTGACACTGGCGCCAACATATTGCAAATACCGTGTCACCTGCTGGCAAGCACAATTACTTAATTCTGTTTTAGTCAAATCTATTGTACGTAAATTGCACGTATTGGCTAGTGTATCCATGGTGAGATCAGTCAATGGATTTGTTGAGGCATTTATTTGCCAAAGTTCTGAGGGAAAGACAAGGAAGAATTGGTTGATTAGAACGAATACGAGATATAGAGTATATATAAACATTATTTATTAGAAATTCATTATTTTAAATATCTACTAAATTTGTATTTTTCCTCTCATTTAGTTTTTCTTTGAGATACTCACTTGGCAGTACACCCAAATTGGGTAAATTTGTTAAGCCGCAATCTGCAACATTCAAATATTCCAATGGTGCTTGTATGGGCGTTTGAAGAGCCTAAGGGGAAGATATTTGTGTCTATGAGTACTAATTTAAATTAAGGAAACATATCTAAAAATAAACTAAAAAATTCTATTAATATTTCATTAACTTAATATATAAAAATATATATGTATATGTATATGCGAACCTGCAAATCGCGATCCAAATTGAAAAGCTCATTACTATCAACATAGAGATTTCGTAGCGAGGGTAATTGAAAAATTTCCAATGGTATTGAGACGAGAGCATTGTTCGACAGGTCTATCTCCTAATCAGAATGTAAAGAAATAGAAATAAATAAAAAAGTAGTAAATAAGTAGAAATAAAAAAATCAAGAAACTCGAATAATATATTGAATAACATAAAAAATAATAAGAAATAAAAAATAATAATATAAAATAAATAAATTAAATTAAGATGAAAAATTAAACTTATTGAAATAACAAAAAACTAAAGCGAAATATATTTGTACATAAAAAAAAATAAAAAAATAATAATGAAACACAAAATAAAAATGAAATAAAATAAAATTAGGTAAATTGAGCTAAAATAGAAAAAAAAAAAACTGAAATAAAAAACGAATTACAATAAATAAAAAAAAAAAATAAAATTAACAAAATAATATAAATAAATAAAAATATTAACGTAAAGAAATTAAATTAACTAAAAAATCTAATTAAACATGAAAAAAAATGAAATAAAATAAAAATGTAAATATAGTTAATTATAAAATAAAATAAAATAAATTAACTAACATTTAATTGTAATAAAAAAAATTAAAAATATTAATGAAAAACAAAATTAAATAAAGTAAAAGAAAAAAAATCAAATAAACAAATTAATTAAACTAAAATCCAAAATTGTAAAACAAAAAAAAACAATAAAATTAAATGAAATAAAATACTAGAAAATATATTTAAAAGAAGTAAATTAAATACAATAAAATTAATTAAACTAAAATAAAACAAAAAGAAATTAAGTGAAGTTAAAGTAAATGAATAAAAAAATTATAATGAAATAAAATTGGACAAAATATAATAAAATAATCAATTAAAATATTCATATAATAAGCAAATAAAAATAATTATTAAAAAAAAAATTAAAACAAAAAAATAAAATAAAATAGTTTAAAAAATTTAATAAAATAAATAATATGAAAATGTTATTTAATATATGTATTTTATTTAATTAAAATATATAATAATATAAACTGACATAAATTTAATAAAAATAAAAATTAAAATAATTATACAAACAAAACTAAATAAAGTTAAATAAAAAAATATAAAACATAAATCCTTTAAAATCAAATTAATTAACATATAATAAAAAAAAACATACAATTAAGTTCAAAGAAATGATATAAAATAAAATTAATTAAAATGAAAAAAGTAAAATGTAATGAAGCAAAAAATATAATTTAAAAAAAATAAAATGAAGTAAAAAAGCGAAGTAAAAATATTTAATTAAGGTAAATTAAATTAGATAAAATAAGGTAAAAAATTTAATTAAATGATATAAAAAAAAATAAAGTAAATAAAATAAATTAAAACAAATAAATTAAATTGAATTAAGTTTAAAGAACTGATATTTATAAATTAAAATGAAAAAATAAAATGAAATGAAGCAAAATAATATAATTAAAAAAAAAAACGAAGTAAAAAAGTAAAGTAAAAAAATTTAATTAAGGTAAATAAAGTACAAAAAAACCAAAATTAAATTAAATTAAATTATATAAAATAAAGTAAAAAAAATGAAGTAAATAAAATAAATTAAAACAACTAAAAAAAATATAATTAACTTAAATTCAACACTATAAAGCTCAGTGAAGAAATTAAATCAATCAAAAAATATGAAATAAATTTAAATTAAATAAATATAATAGCATAAGATAAAAAGAAATAAAGTTAAACAAATCTAAAATAAATAAAAATATAATTAAATTAAACTAAAATTAAACAGAACAAAACTAATAAACAAAAAAAAATAAATAAATAAATAAAATAACATTATTACAGTAGTTTAATTAAAAAATAGTTAAAAAAATTATATAAACAAAAATAAATTTAATAAAAATTAAAATTAAAAAAGGTGTGAAATTGTTATGTCACAATAATATATGTTTGCTTATCAGAATTTATTTTAAATATATATATATTTTGCATGCTCGAATATATTATAAATACATACATGTGCGTGCGTGTATCTACATATTTTTACCGCTCAATTGCAACAAACATTACTAATTACTAAACCACAGTCATCATCACGACAATTTCACTTAATTACCGATTACAACGATTTTTATATGTAGAGTACATGCAATTAGCATTTGTTAAAACTATGAGTACATACAAATATATAGTTTTATATGTAAATACATATATATAAATATATTGGTGGACATGTATGTATGTATGCATATATAATATAATATATTCGAATTTACCTCCAACGATGTTAGTTGGGCAAATGTGCCCGGCTCCACCGATTGTATCTTATTCTCATAGAGTACTAATATTTCAACGCTTGTATAACGTTCAAATGAATTCCGTTTGAGTTTTTTAATACGATTAAATGCGAGATCCAAAATCTGTAATTAGGCGGGGAAAATAAAGTTAGTTTTCATTAGTACACTCGCATTCATTGATAAGATGCGAATGAATACACTTCCTGCGCTCGTGGCGTGAGCAGTGAAGTAACCGAGCCAAAGCGCACGTCGTAATGAATTTTTATGCTTGCATGTGTATGGTATGTGGGTAGAGGTCCATTCGTTACATGCGACCAGGTAGGAAAATTTTCTAGCGCGCGCCAAATAATTTGAGAATCAAAAAAAGTGTAATTTTGACACGCCAAAGCATGGGAATATTTAAAATAAATATATATATACAAGTATATGATGGCTTATTATATTTTTCTCACATTTAACAACGTGCTGATTTGTTATTAACATTAAATATCATTTCTCTTCCATCAAAAGAATGATACTAATAAATATTTTTTACTCAAATTGAGCGAGTATCTTACAATTTTCAGTGCTTTCGGAGAATGACAACGGAAGTTAATGTTTATTTGCTAAATATGTAGCTCCTCCTGGCCCACAGAAGCGTAGAAAGCTTTGTTCCCTACAATATTGTTCATCCCTAGTTTGTTGGAGTTCTATTTTTTCCGACAATGAGGAGGCTTAAAAGTATGTCTAAGTCGGTTTTGGTCGAATCAACAATCAAATTTCCCCCTTAAAAGTACAGAAATTGTTACAGTTTAAGGTCTTAATGTTCAAGTAGAGCAATTGGATAATACCAAAAAATCCCCACAGTCAGTGCTTTCGATTAGGTATATTAGGCTTATTGAGTTTAGAACCATAATCACATTGCTACTCAATTTTCTTGAACAGCCTAAAGGCAATTAAAAACCTGATAAGTGTTTAAGGGCTGTTTGACAAACGCTGCAGAAAAAATAGTAAAGCGTAGTGTATATTTGTATATCAGTATATTCACCTTCTTCCCACGTAACTCGCACTGCGGGGTATCGTAAGTACGAAATTGGTGAGTCATGAAATGCAAGAGTTTACTAAGTTCAAGATCTAAAACTGGTCAACTACAAAAAAATAAATTCAACAACTGAAATCCAAGACTGGATTAGAAATGTAGTAAGTGTAGTTCACAGAATTGATCATTCTAGATATTTACTCGTTGGGTAAACGCTTTTAAAACTGTGAAGTTTTTTAATTCCTTTAATGAACAGTATATTAGTATCAGGAGGAGAAGATACAGTGTCGATATTATCAAAATGATAAGCTTAACTGATCTAGAGATGTCCGTTTGTCTGTATGTAAAAAATTAGTCTCCTTGCTCTCGAGACAATTTAAATGAAAGATGAATTTTTGTAATGTTTTTATTAAGCATTTTATGGAACGTAGAGATTGGTTGCCCATGTGACAGCTCCTAAACCACTTGTTGTTCAGATATGTAATATTGTGTTATAATTCTCACAAATAAGAATCGAAAAGGAGAATTTTCGTTTTACGCTCACATATAATAAATACCATATAAAATACTATCTTCATGAAGGGTCTAAAGACTATGTTATGTTCGAAAATAACACGTTTTTCTCAATAAGTTTAAAGTTATAATCATCTCAGTAACTGCCTTTCGGTTTTTTCTCGATTTTATAATAAAAACATTTTTTGTCAATAATCTAATTCCTAGGGGGTATGCTAACACGAAGCGCACACAAGTATGCTTTGAACAAAAAGCTATGTATGTATGCATAGAGTCGCACGAGTAAAAGCTAGTTAGTTTGCATTTTTTTTCTTATTTTTTTTTTTTTTTTGTTTGGAAATTATCACGACTTCTTTTGTGCGTTCAATTAAAGTCAATTGAATTTTATTCCGCTACAGACAGGCACTGCGTACGGGTACACTTGCCGCACCGATGGGAGCAAGTTCACACGGAAGATGATAAAAAAAATGAAAAAAGTACTAAATCGGATAAACGTTGACGAATGAGTAACGACTTTATGACTCCATAGCGAGCTACGAGTATTTGACACAAATTAACCCTTGCAGTTGCACGGCGAGTTTAAACAAAGAAATTTGCATATTCTTCATAGAAAGTACAATATACGGTTGATCAAGAGCACGTTTAATGTCAATTGATTTTTACTTAATCTTAGCAATTTAAAATTTTAACATTTTATTGTAGTTTTTTAAATTTTTTGCTTTGTGTTATTAATTTAATTAATTTTTTTATTTTTTTATTAATTTTCATATTTTTATTTTTTATTATTTTTTTATTTATTTTTTTATTTATTTTTCATACTTTTATTTTTTATTTGTGCTTTTTTACTTTTTTAGTTGCCATAATATATATTTTTTATTTCATTATTTTATTTCATTATTTTATTTTATTTTTTTATTTATTTGTTTAATTTTATTTTATTTTTTTATTATATATATTTTTTATTTATTTTTTATTTATTTTTTCCAATTTATGTTTTCATTTGATTTATTTCAATTTTCTCTCATTTTTTTATATTCTTTAAATATTTTTACCTCAATTTACTCACCTCAACAGATGACTTCAGGTTTTGCGGCACTTCCTTCAAGTCCATATTGAAACAACGGATTTTGAGCATGCGCGAAGGTCTCAAGTACTGACATTTGCGTTCGTCCTGCGCGACACCAACATAACCGAATGGCATCATCATTTTCGTGCTGATCGTAATTAGAGCCAATAACACTAGAGCAACCGCATGCAAGTCCATACTAAACGAGAGTGAAACAAATGTTAGAGTTTAAGAAATTATTAAAGAGCTGAAGAGCAGACAGAGAACAGGATTTATGTGAAATTCAGCAAAAAATAAACAAGAAAAAAATTAAATAAATAATAAAAACCAAAAAATAACCCAAGCAAAAAAATGAAGAAAGAGAAATAAGAAATAAGTACACCAAACACACGTCAAGAAACAAGTAATGCAAAAAAAAAACCGAAAGGACTGTGTTTGCCGAGGACAAAGACCTCAGCTCAGACTGCAGCAGGAGTTTAGTGCCGTGCTAAATGATGCAATAATGAATCATTGTGTCGTCTGCGGTATTCACGCGAAATTTCATTGATTTACGGAATCTTTGTACTGTGTAGTATTGGTATTTTTTTATTATTGTTGTAATTTTATATCAACGAAATTAGTCTGTGTAATTCCATTGAGTGCTGAATGTTGATGCGGGTAAATCGGTCTTCGTACTCGGCGCGCTTTTTCTGCGCATAAAACTTCACAATGCGAACAGGTTCGAAGAGCGTGTGATAAAAAGAATACTCTAGAGTGATAAGCGCATGAGTAATGCCTGAGTATATGAAGGACAACATTTTCTAAGGACTGCTCACTTTCTGCTCCTATATTTATAATTAGAGTTTGTCCTCTGTGGATGCAGTCCACATGGAATTTTCAGATAGTTCTTATAAGATTCATTAGGTTTATTATATTATTAATTTTAATATAGTTGGCAAGCTATTATACATATATTATATATGTATATTCCACATATTAAGCAAAAGCCGGACTATCGAATCGATCCTAAGAACACTTTCTACAAGAAAAGATGTTCCCAAAGCTACTACTATACCAATTTTTATGTAAATCGAACGATAAATACAATTTTTCGAACGAATAGATCGGTGCCAGGTCCACTTTCCTGACGAAGAAGTGTTCGCTATATCTAATCAGGAAAAGAGTTACCTGTGTACCGAATTTCATGCAAATCAAACGATTTAAAAATAAATTCTAGTTTTCCGCACACTCTCCCACTTCCTGGAAAAAAATGTCTTCCCAATGGTAAATAGGTACCAAAGCTATTATCGCCCCGATTTTTCTTTTTTTTTAATTTGTTTAAGTCTTTTAAGTACATATATAGATGACCAGAAAATTCGTCGTGAAGGAGCCCAGTTTTCAAACCGTCTAAATTCAAAAACCTGTCAGCGACCGGGCTGGACTAAAGAGAAACAACACGCAAAAATTATTAAAGTATTCGATACAATCGTTTGCACGATCCTGCACGATCATTTTGGCATGACTAAGGTCAGCGCAAGATGGGTGCCGAGAATGCTCACGCCTTCGCGAAAATATCCTTTTTGAATCTCTGTTATAAAGTGAAGGACGATATACCATCCAATACACCGTCTATGCAGACAAAGTGTTGCTGAAGATGAAACTTGGGCTCATTGCTATCAACCTGATATTTTTGGACACTATAGCTGGAGAATACCACACTTGAATATTCGTGTTATTAAAAGGACCAGTTAAAGAAATAAGACAGGGAAAATTTACGAAAGATGTACTGTTATCGTATAGCAATACCAAGAACCTCTTAAGGCGGGATGCGTGGGATAATAAAATTGTCATCGAAGATAAATTCGAGGAAGCATTTTCAGCGTTTTTTTAAGATAAAGAGAAATGAGGATATAATTTAATGAATGGAGAGATTTGTAAAATGTATCCGTCTTGTAGGAGAATATATTAAAAAGAGAAATGAATTGGTTTTGTTCCATTTCCACCCCTTATTCCCCATTGGGAGCACATAAAAATGTACTTTCTTATCACCTATTGGAGCCAAACAGTGAAAGAGAAAACGGCTGGCAAACCATCTTTAAGCTGTTAAGCTATGCCTACGTCGATAAATAAAAATAAGAGGAAGAAAGAGGGGCATTATTACGAGTATTAATTAAGACAATGTAAACAGTCATGAGTTCAAGCACTGGTCAGAGAAACATTAAAATAATAGAAAAGATTTATCAAAATGTGTTCCTCCTTCGGCAGAGAATGTCAACGCAACCGAGCCCAAATATATAATATATGAAAGCATGAGAGCTCGTTATAAAAGACCATCGGCCGTCCGGAGACGACTAAAAATCTTTTCAGCGGTTATAAAGCCAATGATAGCAAAAACTAATCCATTATTTTGCAATAGATAGCCTTAGTGATCACCAAACTCACTCTTCGCGCATGTCAAACAGAGACAACAGCCAAGGAAAAGGACACTGTATTCTACAACTTTTCTTCGATGCAGGCGAAAACGCATGTCAGGCTGCTCAAAATGTGAATAGTGTTTATGGTCCTAAGACTGTAGTAGCCACTCTTGCAAAATTTCGGTTTCGTCGATTTCGGTTTTGTCGATTTTGGTTTGGTTATTTTGATGTAAAAGATGCTTCACGTTGTGGAAGGCCGATTGTCGATAATGTATACATATATCATAAAATAATAGAAATCGTCGAGACGGCTCATCAAGCGAACACTATTTCGATTACCCAGGAGCTAAAAATTGCACGATAAACAGTTTGGAACCACTTGAAAAAGTTTCGATACACAAAGGAGCTCGATGATGGAAGCTATAAGGGTTAACAAGAAGAAACCTCTTTAACCGAATTTCCATCTGTGAATCGCTGCTGTATCATAGCAAAATCGACATATTTATCAAGCAGATGACGACTGGCGATTAAAAATGGATTACTTACAGTAACGTCAAATGGAAACGGTCGCGGCAAAAATGATCTCCAAGCAAGAATTGACGACCAGGAAGGTTTTGTTTTATGCTTGTTGGGATTGGCAAAGAATCATCAACTCCAAACCAAACTCTTTATTTAGATCTGTACTGTTAACAATTGGACCGTCTGAAGAAAGCAATTGCCAAGTTTTAACCAACAGAAGGAGAGTACACACATCGATAGTGACTCGGCAAAAGCCCTGAGAGCTTGTTTGGGAGGTTTTTATGCATCCCCCTTATAGTCCGAACCTCGCACAAAGGAATTGCCATCTGTACCAGTCTATGACGAATGATTTGAGGGGGAGCAGAATTGGCCTCAAGAGACGCCTGTGAAAATCAATTGGCTCATTATTGACATTACCGTCAAAATGGGAAAAAGTGATCAAGCAAAACGGTGCCTTTTTGGCATATGTAAATCAGATTAATTCTTACTAGACTACGTACATATATGATATTTATATGTATGTATTGGGGAAGAATTTATGAAATTGCGTGAAATTTGATTAAATAAATATTAATAATAAAAATAATAAATTGTCTCAATACCAAGCAAACAAGTTCAAAGCCAATGCATTTCGTCACTTTTTAGTTTAATAAATATAAATAAATTCTTGTATATTTGCATGTATGTACACAGTTTTATTTACACATTGAAATAGCTGACAGCCGGAGCCTTGCCATGCAAAGGTGTGACATTCAAACGCCGGATTCACTCGACATGCCCACCCCATGATACCCTCAATCAGGCGCTGAGGTCGTCTCGCACAGGTGGGACAGAGACGCGGCGAAAGTGCAATGAAGCGTATCAAATGCGCCCCGGAGAGTTTACTACAGAGAATCAGTGTGGACAATCATACATATGTACATACATACATACGTGTATGCATATGCCAATAGGTAAACACGCTCAAATGCAGCGCAGCGTCCCTAACAAGTGCAGCGCGTAAACAAAAACAAATACAAACAAACAAATAAATTCAATGCGCACTTACATATATACGTGTATGCTCATACCCACAAACAAATAAACCGTGGAATTTTTGTATAAGCAAAAAAAATCCGTTGATCTATTACTCTTCCCCGTATTATGTCAATTTAATTGCGAATAAATATGTATGTATGTATGTAACATAAATATAGAAAAAATAAACTGTTAATTTGTATGTTTATTGGCTACAAAATGCTTAAATGGAAATCAAATTAACAAAACCATTACAAATGTCAACGCGACGGTTCGTCAAGTGGCAAGCAGTTAATCGACCCTCCCTTTTCCCACTCGAAATGGCTAATAAACAAATAGATATTTATAAATATATGTGAATATATTTATATACATATGTACAAATAAACAGATAATTGCGACAAACATACAAACAAACTTTTCCAAAGGCCCGTCGTCGTTGCTGCTCTGTCGCTTTCGTAGGCCCAGCGCTTGGGACTGGGGGCTGGGCTGCTGAGCAGGTGTAAGCAGCGTGAAAACATAAACAATTAACAAAACATACAAACAAGTTTGTATATATGGAGGTATAGTATCTCTGTGCTATTATATGGGCACTTAGTGCAATTAACATAAACAATGCACTGAATTTGTTGTAATCCTATTTATTCTACTACGGATTCAACTGAAAGTGAATTTGAACAATTGACAGAACGTCAACCCTGATCTCAAAATCCACTAAATTATATATGAAAAATTGAAATCACAGTAGAACCAATTGGATGATGACCAATAGAAATACATAGTCTGTACAGTGCACTTGTAATGCGAGACTTGCAGAAAGAAATTCCTCTACGAGTGTTTGTGGGGGAAACACTAAAGTGCACGCCACAAAATGGCACAGCTGCTCGACCGAAAATCACTTCAGCGCTTTTAAAGTGTCAATTCTTCTTCTTGGAAATACCAACTGTAATCAGCTCGTTCCTTACCTTATCCTTCCACCGGAGTGTGGATCTTCCACTTCCTCCGCTGGGTACTGCATCGAATACTTTCAAAACTTAAGTGCCCTCATTCATCCGGACAACATGATCTGGATAGGGTAGGCGCTATATTTTGATTCGCTGCACTATGTCAATGTCGCCGTATATCTGACAACAGTCCATAGTTTAATCGTCTGCGGTATTGGTATTGGCTGTTGCCAATTCGTAAAGGACCAAAATTCTTCTTTCGAAAACACCCAGCGTCGACTCATCAGATTTTGTTCTCCTACAGCCCTCCGCACCATATGGCAGGGCGGCAGTGATGAGAGACTAGTAGACTTCTTGTCTTTGTTCTTGTCGAGAGGGCTTTATTTTTCGTTTACCTACTCATCTCAAGGTAGTCAGTGTAATTCTGCGTTAGATTTCAAGACTGACATTAGACGAAATTTTCTGCGACTTCATAGTTAAGACTATCAACTTTAATGTGGTAGCCCAGACGAAACCGTGTCGAATGTTTATTTGATGTTAGAAGATATTTCGCCTTGTCCTTATCATTAACAGATCCATTAGCTTCGCTTCCATAGCCAGTCTGGAATAAGCAGAACTCACGCGCGCGGTTGTTGGGAACAATGATAGCAATATAATCGGCGCTAACAGTTGAACACTCTAATAGAAGATTGTACCAACTCTATTCAGCTCTGCAGTAGCTCGGAGGTTATTCCCGATATTGACGGAGCTTTTGGTGTCAGCTTACACAGCCGTAAAAGCTTTCTGTATATTAATATACTTACGTAAAAATATTATTGGAACCAAAAACAATTCAAACTTATAGTTTAACCTTTAAAATTCTAGTGTCAAAGTGTTTGTAACCAAGCCCCTTCGAAACAGATGTTTTTCACACCGGAAAGTTGGCCACTGACTGTATTATTGGATGAGTGCATAAGTTCGTGCCCGATTTCAAGTGCAAACTAAAATTGAATTTTTTTAAAGAAAGCGCTTTTATTAATCAATTATTTATTCGCCATCATGTTCGGCAATCCACTCCCAACGTTCAACCAATTTACGGATGATTCATAGAAATCGCACGGTTTCTCGTTGAAAAAGGTGTCAAGGAGGTTTTTTACGTCTTCCACATTTTTAAATTTTTTTCCATTCAAATTGTTCTGCAGCGATCGAAACAAATGATAATCAGAAGGTGCAATGTCGGGTGAATATGGGGGATGCGGCATGATTTCCCAATTCATCTCCTTCAGTTTGGCCAGGGTCGGTTTTGCAACATGTGGCCTGGCGTTGTCATGATGGAAAAGAACTCCTTTGCGATTGGCCAAAATCGGACGTTTTTCATCAATTGCTTTCTTCAATTCGACCAATTGCTGACAATACTTGTTGGCAGTGATCGTTTCTCCAGCTGGCAAGAGCTCAAAATAGATCACGCCTCGGATATCCCACCAAATGCACAGCAGTACCTTCATCGGATGCAATCCACCTTTCGACATCGGTTCCGCCCCTTCGTGTGCCTGTTTCCATGTTCTTTTGCGTTGAACATTGTTGTACAGGATCCATTTTTCATCACCAGTCACGAGCCGATCCAAAAAAGGTTCGTTTTTGATCCGTCGAAGCAAAGAAATTGCTGTTGACATACGGTCCACTTTGTTTTTTTCACTCAACTGATGTGGCACCCATGTATCGAGCTTCAAAGTGTACCCAACCTTTTTTAAACGACGAAACGCAGTTGATTTTTTGACGTTCAATTCACTGGCAACTTCTTCCGTCGAAATACCTGAGTTATTCGCAACTAAAGTCCTTAGAACATCGTCATTAAGCTCAGAAGGCCGTCCACTGCGAGGTTGATCTTCGAAGTCTTTTCACTAAGTAACTCTAATCAAAATGAAGTAATTTTATGCTTGATTTACAGTTCGGACTGTCACCTTTCCAACGATATATAATATGTATATATTTCTTTCACGAGCGCCACTCTCAAACGATTCGAACGGCATCCAGCGGAATCGGGCACGAAGTTATGTACTCATCCAATAATAAAAATTTTGTTCATAAGGGGCCAGACACCACAGACTGCTTTCGCCTGATTACGATAGATGAGAACATACGTTGACTTTAGCTGAAACTTTAAAGGAAAGAAAAGGCATTTTTGTTTTTAAAAACCACGGAGCAAATTCAATAAATTATGGAGCATATGAAAATACCGTATCCAAGTGAGAGAAAAAACCTCTCAGGAGGAAACCACACGATGGGAAGCCCTTATCCATATATCTTAGTAGAAGTATATACAAGAAGTTTTCCTGTATGGAGAACCGCTGAATAGACTTGTTCAAGCTTTTTGTTTCAATTCTTCGTTTTTAATAAAAGAAAAGTGTTCGAAACAGAAATTAACTTTATTCCGAGAAGTATAACAGCGACCGATTTATATAAGAAAATCTTATTTATGATCACATTCATAGTTCAATTTGCTTGGAATTATTTTCATATCGAGTAGTGGTGCTGGCAGCGTTCAATTGGGAAAAATCATGTTCAAAGTTCGGCTTGCTTGAACGTTTCTTACTTGAAACGACTTAGTTAATTTTAAGACTGGGCTTACTTGACTAATGCGTTCTCTTAGCCGACAAAACACGCATAAGGATACGTGAGTCTCTCTCAGGAATTTTGTATGATCAGTCAATGTATGTACGTCGGCGTGTTGGCAACCATCTTTGTGATTTGTTCTTGTGGCGAAAGACTAAGCGGCTACTACCAAATCGCTTTCTGCTGATTTCGAGTTCATTGAATAATTCACGTTAAGATTTGAACTAGCTATGTATATACATATATTTTATACGCACTTTGGAGTTAATCCAAAGGAAAGGCGATTGAGGCAGGGTGAAGTTTGTCGAGCTCGCTTATATTTTTGTAAAATTTTTGTGCCTTGAAATTCACAGAAAATTATTGTTTCCGCAGCCTTGTACTCACATATTGATATATTTACATACATACATCATGGAGTATACTTTCCTTTCGGCCTTTATCACATTACACCTCTACTCACGCACTCACTCTAGTATTTACGTATGTTTGTATATAAATATCTTATCAATTAGCACTAGAAGAAGTGACGTTGATCACTGACACATATTTTCTTTAAACAAGTGGCATTGTTTACCTGCCAACAAAATGAATGAGTTTAATTAAAAGAAAATATTTATCATCAAGCACTTGTGGAACGTAAATCGTCCGATAAAAACAAAACACCGATGGAGTTTGTCATTATCACACAAACTGATTATTTACACAACGAGTATGTGCTTCTGAAAACCACCGTCCGACCACAAGGAATTTGCACGTAAGTGTAAAATGCGCATCAGATAACTGTAAGCGTGAATAAAGGAATAATTGCATGATATTTAGGTGGGAAAGAAATTCACAAAAAAAAAATACCGTTTTTGATGAGTTTGCAAAAAAAAAAAATAAATTAAAAAAAAAATTGACTTACTTCATTTAATTTTAGTGCATTTATTTCGTTTTGTTTTTCACTATTGTTGTTGCTATATAATTTCATATTTCACTTATTCTCATCAGCTTTTTTTTGTGGTTGCTGCTTGCTGCTCCGTGTCGTTAAAATTGCATGCGAACAAATTATGCTGACAACGTTGGATGTTCGTTTAATAATTTTTACTTTGTTGTTGTTTTTTCCATTGCATGTATGTATATACATATATACGGGAATGACTACATATTGATGCTGTCAGAAATCACAGAACAATAAAGCAAAAAAAAAACACCAACTAACGGTTGAAATTAAAGAGAAGTGCAATGAGCAAACAACTACGATATATTCATACGTTTATCCGTATATACATAGTTATGTACATGTGCTTGCGATTCTCGTGTGACGTGCACATATTGTAACAACAATAACAGTTAACAACATTTTGCATGCAATTTTTGCAAAAAATTTAATTTCCGATTAAATGGCGATAATATCGTTGGACGGTTTTAGTGTGAAAGAAATTATAGAAATGCACTTTGTCATACCTACGTACATATGTATGTACACACCCTGCAGGGTATACTACTACAACAGTTTGCATTATTGCACTAACTAATTCATCTTCCGGACAGCCGAAAAACGAGTTCATCGGTTACAAATCGCCTTTTAAATATTTATTCTTATTCCGGTTGCCGACATCTGCCGAATCATCCTTGAGAATCTTCGGGAGAATGATTTCGTGAATGATTTAAGGTCCGTTTCGCATTGGCCCGCATACGACGAGTTAGAAGGTGATAGTGTCATAGTTCGACGAATCAAGTGACCGTGACTGCAGTGACCAGCACCCCTTCCCCTTTGAAAGTTATTGATGAAATAACCGCTGTTGGAGGCAAAATAAGGCTGGCTAAACACCTTCTTCTTTTTCTTCATTAGCGTGGGCATCGATTCTCTTTGCTATTTGTCAGCAATTGGAAAAACCAAGCTTTGGTGTGCAATCAAATTTTGCTGGGGTGCTACCGAAGAGAACACCCCAACAGACACTTATTAGAAGCTGAAACACCACTCATGCACATCATAAAGGGAGTATTCGTCCATAATGACTGCATTTAGCACCATCTACAACAAAGGCTGGACTGGTGGTCTTACTGATAGAAGTTAAACACCAAATGTTCGTGAAAACCTTCCTAAACTCTCTTCTAGTGCATGACGTTCTTGGAGTCAGCACATCACCTATTGCTGACGAAGAGATCGAGCTGCCTTGAGAGTTGCGCGTAATACTGGCAGAATTTAGATCTGAGTATTGTGGTCAACTAAATTCCTACCTATACAGACTTGACCCCGACGTAATCAAAATGTGTCCTGCAAGTAATGAGTGCCCGCACGAGAGTAACAACTTTTTGCTTGCTCTCAAAGCCAACTCATCTAACCCCCAATTTCCATTGGTACCAAACCATCGAAACAGCTCGTTTCAAGCAACTCTGGTCAGATGACTTCCCTGACATAGCCAGGTCACTCTTCAACTAATCGCTCCAAGGCTATATATACATAGCCCACGTTACCGCCTTCCATTAAGAAAAATAGCTAAAATGGCGCTAAATAACCTTATCTGACAAGAGTAGTGTATACGTCAGCGAAGAAGAAGAAGAGTTAATCTTTCATCATTTTCAACTCTAAGCAACTAAGTTTTTCCCTTTGAAAATGTCTCTTCATGCATCAGCTTCATACTAGTTAAATACCAGACCACTTGGGCATGCTGCATTTCTTTTGCTTGACCTGAACCGTATGTCTCATACTACCTGAACCACGTTACTGGTGTTGTTAACTATCCCTTTTGCGCGCAAACAGTGCACTGGTATGATTTGATCTATAAAATACTAGTATTAAACTAGTATATTTACCCACTAGTTATTGTAGCTTTTCCCTGCAGGGTACTTTCGTTAATACATATATCTCTGTTATTAAAGGCTTGATTATGAAGTAATTTTCTACATAATTATTAATATTATTATTATTTTTTGTAAACACTCATTCATATCTATTAATGCATGTAAATCCTATTATGCATTTCTCATTTAAAAAGCTTGACTAAACTTCACGTTAAATCGATTCGTGGCTAATTGCAATGAGTTTTTATCATTGTATGATTAATTGAGAGTTCAGTTATATAATAAAATATTATATATTTATTAAGACCAATAATAAACAGTATTATTAATAAAGTGCAAACGACTTAATTCCCACAGAGAGTCCCAATTTTCGACCACTTGTTGGCCCCCGCTTAGGTCCGTATGTCAGCAATAATGCGTCGAATATTCTCTTCCAAGGCGTCAATTATTTCGGACTCATCTGTACAGGCAAGTAACTTTGCAAAACCCCACAACAATAATTCAGCGATGTTGGAGGCCAAGTCACAGTCCCATGACGATACAAAAGTATGCTTCAATAAATTGATTGTTTCGTTGCCGGTATGGCAACCGGAAATACCGTCAAAATAAATATCCTCCAATTCAGACATGAAAATGTTAATAACCTCTAACCGATTTAAGAATGTAATAGCGTCTCAATAATGGCTTCCTAAAAGCACATTATCAACACTCCAAAGGTGCACATTTTGTTTTACCAGAAGTGAGCTTTCATGCTGAATACAATTTTCCGGTGAAAATCGGCATCTGTGCTTACCTCCTTTTGGCCCATGACATGGTTGATGGTAGTTCGGCTACAATTCTCGCACGAGTTGAATTTCGTAAGCCTGCAAACGAAGATCCTTTCGCAAAATCTTCCATAAGGTGCCCACAGGTCTAAATGTTGCGCGCGACGTCAGATGGACTCATTCAACTCGTACTTAGATATACTTTTTTTTAGTTCGAAAATGTTTCTAAAATAAAAAGGTTTTTCATAAAATTTGAGAAACTAAATTCCGCCTATTTACAAGATGGCTCAAAGCCATATAGGTGGTCTGCATAAAATTTATCCACAAACAAACCACTGTCGTCTTCATTCCCAATTCAGGTAAAAACACTCAATGTTGCCCAAAGGACTTTAGAACCCTAAGTCTTTCATCCCTCGGGCTAAAAGTTTAACAGAAGATCTTAGCAAACTATCACGTACTTTTGGAAAGTTTGCGAAAGTAAGTCTATGTTGTGGCCTGCTTAGAAATAGAGGTGACCCTCAACAACACCTAACAAGCGTAGTTATAGCAGCAAAGGCGAGCTTATGTAGGTGTCGACACTAAGGTTCTAAATTCAATACTCAATATCTTGCCAATGGACTTAAAATAAAAACTCATATCTGAACAAATCGGTTGTGTTATAGTCTTCCGCTTTAACTGGCTCCGACAAATTTGCACTACAAAATTACATCTTCTTATTAAGTTTGGCAAAAATATCTCAAAATCTGAGGAAGAAATTTCTATACAAATCAATTCAGCTCGCTGTTCTGTTGCGATCGGTATACATTTTGATGGGTCTCTCTCTTCTTCTCTCTTCTTCTGTTACTTACACACCATATTTAATATTTAATATACTACTTCATGTACTTGAAAGCTATAAGAAGAATTATGGGTATTTATAAGTGGCGGTTAGTTAATAAAATCTGCCATATTTTGCTAATAAATACAAAGACCTTTTCAAAATATATAAATCGCGAAAAAATTCTTTTTTTTCTTAAACCTTTTTCAATATGAGAAAAAAGTTCATTTTTATAAGCATAAAACTTATGGATATAAAAACTTGATTTCTTGTTTCATTCACACGTAATATGAAGCATTTTTATCGCAATTAAAGTGCCACAGAGTCCATACCCACGTCCTTGAACATACCCACCCTACAGTGAACTCAATTAGTGTATAAAAATACTAGTTTGATTCCGACATGTAGTCGTTCGAAAGTAATAAGGAATAAAACTATTTCATTTTCATTTTATCAAAATCAGTCTATGGTTACAATAACCTTACAGACTAGACATAGAGCAAATACTTATAGTCTTAAAACAGAGAAAAATTAAGAATAAAAGAAATTTATATTACGAAAAGAGAAATTCTTGACATGACGAAATCTAGATTAAGAGTTTTATAGATCACTTTCAACTCAGTCAATGCACGCGTAATTGGGGTAACAGCTAGACCGTAGGGTTTTTGGCGGGACATTGAAGCTTATCTGTTCAAAAAGTTCTGGGCAATCAACAGAACCAGATAAGGTCTACAAGTATAAACTTCTAAGTTCGCTTATGGCTAAGAGACTTCATTGATATAAACCTACGCCGCCTGTAAGGTGACCCATTACCACCTAGCTAGCAGAGTGGAGTGGTTGAAGAGCTAAACGGATAAAGATTATTAGCAGTCTTTCCACTCCATTTGATGCACCATGATGCTACCTGCACCAGTACACCCTAGCTGGTTGGAGTTTCTCGAAACACCTTTGGTAGCGTGTAGCTTTTGGTACATCACATCTCGTGGCTGTCACTTTCAAGCAAGAATTTCGCTGTAGTCAATACATTTTTGTATGTTTTTTATTGTTTTAGGAGAAACTCAGCATGTGTAAATGAAATGGTATTTAACTAGTATATGGCTGAAGCATAGTGGAACACTCAATATTTGTAGAACAGCGCTGTGTTGTGTTAACAAACGAGTGGCTAGCTGAGCAAAATTATGAAAGGTAAACTAGTTAGGGCTAAAAGAGGTACTAGTAGCATTTTAGTTTATAACTGGTTTCTTTCCTTGTGGGAAATATATGTTTATGTGTTGTACATATATATATATATATATATATATACATATATATTTATAAATGTAGTACATATATTTTATCATCTTGAGTGCCTTTAGTCAGAGAATGAATGAGTTATTTATTTTTCAAGATTTTCTCTTCAAATAAACGACAACAAAACTAAGATAAGTGACTATGAGGCAGCAGGTCCCCATGACACAAAATGCCATATACCTACATATATGCAGAAACTAACTAATACGTGTAAACAGGTATAAATGAAAAAAAAGAACTAAACACACTTGTAGTACAACAACTTAAATATTTGGTTCTTGATA